CATCTCCAGGTCACAGGGCTGTAACCCTTTACCCTGCACAGTGCGGCCATGTCCCCTGCAAGGCCACAGCCATGCCTCCTGATGTGCACGCTGGGCTGGATTTGCATAGCAGGACCCAGTGCCCCTTTCTGCCCACCAAGGTCAGAAACTGAGCCCCAGGTGCTGGTGAGGCCAGGAGAATGCGGATGTGGTGGCTGAGAGGCTTAACAAAGGAGGGCTGCGGTTGTCCCAGGAGCAGGGCTGAACAGATGGGCACCAGGCTGCACCCGGCCAGTCCAAGCTGGAAGAGGGCGGAGGCTTCTGCTGGGTGCAGCTGGCAGGTGGGAGGCAGAGGACTGAGCACAGGGAGAGCCCCAGGGAAGGCTGGCAGCACAGTGGAGACCTTGGGGGCCCTGGGCTCAAGTGGGGGAAGAATAGTTAATGAGCATCCAACCCCCAATTTCTCCAGGGCAGAGGCATCAAGTTACATTTATTTCTTCTATGGGAGGCAGCACGGCCTGGTCTGGCGCTCCCCTGCCACCCAGCTCCCTCCCTTATCAGACAAGGGTAGCCCCTGCCTGAGGGTGTTGTATGTGAGTGCCAAGCGCCATACCTGGCACCTGCTGGGAACCTGCTCACCTCATGGCTCCCAGGACCCTAAGGACCATAACCTCATAACCCCAAGATGTTAGAAAGGCTGTTTTTAAACCTAAGTCACAGAGACATTCAGGAACTAGAAAGTGGTAGGGGTGGGATTTGAACTAAGGATCTGAGCTCTTGGCTCCTGCACCTCGGCCTGGCGCTTAGCATATGCATGACCTACATTACACCATTGAGACACTGTGTGATCACCACAGGGGGTGCTGTCTTATACACAGGCATTTGGGGCCCAGAGAAGTAAAGCAATGTCCTCAGGGTCACACAGCAGGGAAGGGGCAGCGGCAGGATTCAGACTCAGGATTCAGGTTTGTGTATCACCAGAGCTGTGCTCACCGTCAGAGAAGGAGAAGCCGCAGGTGGTGCACTTTCAGGGGCCCCCATGGCTCTTAGGTTGGCAGGGAACTCAGCCAGGCTGGGAGTGGGGTTATTAGGTAGCCTCGGGGTGAGGTGGGGCTGGAAGGTCCCAGGGCCCAGGCCTTCTGGGGAAAGGAGCACCACACTCCCATAGATGCGACCTCACCCCCTCTTACCTGCAGAGGTCAGCAGGAAGGAGAAGCTGAGCAGAAGCCACGTTGTGGAGGAGGAGTCAGGGTCTGGCTTAAATCTGTGGTGGGAGAGAGAGCTGGGTGACTTTGGACCCTTCTGTCCCCACCAGGATCCTTCTGGGCACTGACTGCAGCTCCCCCAGCTGCTACTGCTGATCAACAGTGCCTCCCTTGTCCCTGCTCTTCCACCGCCATCCCCTGAGTACCTTGTCTTCGGAGGCTTCACTGTTCTTAGAGCACTAGGACAGCCCCAGGTGCCTCACAGCCTGTCAGGTGCCAGCACTTGCCGGCAGCCTGGGAGTCTCTCACCAACCCCAATGCTTTGGCCTGGGCACCCATCCCAGCCCCCTTTCTGGCCTCTTGGGTCCCCCTCCAGTCCAGCACTCTCCCAGCCTGTCCCCAAGGTCTCAAGGGTCTTTCTGTACCCAGCCCTGTAGGGACAGAGTGGCCCATCTGGCTGGTCTCCCACGATCTTGACCTTGTCTAACCTCCCCGCCCCACTGGGGTGCCTGCCTCTCCTGTTACACTGAGAACTGCCAGTGAACAGACCTGGTCTGAGGACTGTAAATTCCCAGGACTGCTGGGCCCGGGGCCTGGCCTGTGGGAGACCTTGGTGAGCTTTGGGAGTGAATTGAAGTCCTTGGCCTCATCTTCCAAATTAGAATTTGTCCTGTGAGGCTCACCTGTCTCCTGTTCTGGAAGGCCCAGTACCTAACAGGTGTCTCTGGGCCCCACAATGCCCATCCTGCCCCCAGTAGCACAAAGATGACCACAGATGCCTGCAGATGCCACGGTGTGGCCTGCCCCTGTGCGTCCCACCCCATCTGGGGGGTCCTAAAGTGGAGGGGGGGCTCAGGTTAGCTCCTCTCTGTGTCCCCAGCATTGCCCAGCATGGGGCCTGGCACACGGGAGGTGCTGGAGAAGTTGCTCTGAACTGGCTTGAACCATGTTCTCCTGAGCTTGTCCTGGCTGCAGGACCAGTACTTTCAGGTAAGTCCTCCTGATCCACTCCATTAGCCCCGCTCCTTCTGGTGGCTCCAGGATATTTTCATGGGTTCAGGTTTAACTCAGTAAAGAACATAGGGACCTACCCAGTGCCCTTGAAACTTACAGCATGGTTGATGTCTCCTCCCGAGACCAGGGCACTGCGTATTTTCCTCACCAACTCCTTCCCAAGTTCTTTCTTAATGATCTTACCCCCTCCAGATCTGCCAGCAGCATCTAGGGTAGTTTGAATGCCAGCAGAAGGAAACAGACAGTAGAATTCCTGAATTTATAAGCTCCCAGCCCCACCTGGGTCTAGAGGTGCGGTGCAGTGGGTGGGGTGGGGTGAGATGTGGCTACGAGGTTTATAGGCAGGGACAACTTGGTGGCTGGTGGGGTAGGGACTCAGTCTAATGAGCATTTATGAGGCTGAAATCTTGTCTGCATCTATAAGAAGCTGTCGCCCCTCCCCCCTGCCTCAGGGAAGTTCCTGCAGGGGAAAGGGACAGAAAGACAGGAGTAGAAATTGGAGGACATCAAAATACAGAGCTTGGCTGGGCGTGGTGGGGTACACTTGCAATCCCAAGAACTCAGGAGGCTGAGGCAGGATTGTTGCGAGTTTGAGACTATCTTGGGCTACAAAGTGAGCTCAAGGCCAGCCTGAACTGCACAGGGAGAACCTGTCTCAAAGATACATAAAAAAATATACAGCTTGAAATTTGGGGACTGAGTGTGGGGACTGGATTCTGGAGTTCTATGCCTTGTGCTTCCGGTAGGGCTCTAGATGCTGGATTCTGGATTTAGGGTTGAGATTTAAAATCTGCCCCGTGAGTTCTGGATTTTGGGGTCTTGAATTTGGCATTCTGGACCCGAAATCTGGAGTGTGGATTCTGATGTCTGAGTTGTGGACTCTGGGATCTTGAACTGGGTTCTGGAGTCAGTCTTTTTTTTTTTTTTTTTTTGGCGGAACCAGGGATTGAAATCAGGCCCTTGTGCTTGCCCAGGAAGTGCTTATTCCACTGAGCCATCTCCCCACACCCTGGAGTCAGTCTTGGAGTGACCCACAATGTCTTGGGCTTGGATTCTGGACATCTGAATCTAGAATCCAGATGAAGAGTTTGGAACCTGGGACTTGTGTTTGAAATCTTTTGCACTTGCTGTGTGAAGCCTGGGCCCTGAGGTACAAATGGCAAAGCTTGCATTTTGTATTTTGGTGTCTTGATTCTAGAGTCTGGGTCTAGATTCTGAGTGACAAGCATGAAGTTTCAAATCTCCCTTGCACATTTATGAGGCTGTGCTGGGAGATGGGCCTGGCTTCCCTGATGCTGAGATTGCTAGAATCTTGAGTACTCAATATGAATTTAGAGACTGGGAGTGTGGGGTCTTCATTTGGGACCCTGCAGTAGTGATCCTGCATTCTGGAGCTTTGTAGTGGATTTGTGGTCAACTTGTTACACCCAGCTGAATTGAACTAGCGTGGTGCTGGGTGTGGGAGGCCCACCTGAAGGTTGTTGCCAGCAGTGTAAGAGGCAGACAAGGAGAAGCTGCCAAAACACTGTTTGGGATGCTGTTTGGAGAAGCTGTTGAAGCTGCTGGAAGCCATGGTTCTCTTGGGCTGTTCTGCTGGATGGCCTTGCCATGCTGGCTTTCCTGGGGAACTTGGCTGATCCTGTTGCTGGAGGAGCTCAGGACCTTCACTGTCACTGAGCATGGCTATGGTTCACTTTGGGGGAGCTCTGGTCCTCATCTTGAGCACCACTTCCTGGCTCCAGAGGGGAAGATGGTGCCCTGCTCAGCCTCCTGGAGAGCTTGCCGCATTGGCTTTCCTGATGGGAACTCAGCCTTCCTCATCACTGGAGCTTGGGACCTCACTGGTGCTGAGGACGGCTGTGATACCTTTTGGGGAGCGCTGGTGCTTACCTTGAGTGTTGCTTCCTGGCTCCAGTTCAGATCCCTCAGCCTGCTAGCATAGAACCTCTATTCCATTGGCATAGACTTCCTAGCTTCCACTGTGGACCTTTGGGCCTTCTCAGTGCAGATCCTTGAAGTGAGTCTGCATGAGACATTGTCGTAGGCTCTAGGTCTCCAATTGGACTTGTGGGGGGCACTGTTACGATCTCTAGGTTTTCTTCTGGACTCATGCAGGGTATTAGGGTCCAGGCCCTCAGCTGGATTCTTTGGTCTTTAGAGTGTGAGCAGATTTCCTGCACTCCTTGTGATATGATTCTTTGGGTGATTCCCTATAAACTAATATTATGAAATGTGTCCTGTATTGTATTGTTCACATTGCAAAATACCCCAAACCATGACGAACTTGAAATCTGGGTTCTACATTCTGGGAGCCAGACCTCAACACTAAGATGACTCAAGGCTTCAGGTATTTGAAGCTGGCTTCTGGTGTCTCAGAACCCTAGAGGGTCCTGAGCAATTCTCTATTCTAGCAATGGGGCAGGTCCAGACTGCAGGAGGGACCTACGTTAGGTCATCAGGCAACACACGGTCCCTCCTCTGTCTGGAAGGCCATACCTTTATGGGGAGTAGCTGCATGACTGGGGCTCAGCAGGTCTCATCCCATGGGCTTTTAAAATCCCTAGAGCATCATCTTTTTAGGTTCTAAAACAGATCCTAAGACATACTAGCAGTCTAGGACCTTAGATATGTTGGATGCTAAAATTTAGGATTGTGTTGATCCACCAAGCTCCCCGTACCCTGGAGCCCAGAGCTTCCCACGTTCTGGAGGCCCAAACAGGCATTGTAGACATTCAGGGCTACAGCACTGTACAAGCCCAGAAGTGCAGACATCCTGGCCCCCTTTGTCCCTCTGTCACTCCACAAATTCATGCTCAATGTCTCGGGGCCTCACACGGGGCCTCAGCTTGGTGGAACACTTCATTTATGGGGTGCCAGGGACTTCTCTGGCTAAGCCTTGTGCCAAGGGCTCCTCTGACTGCATGAGGAGGAGGTTAGCATAGAGGAAAATGAGGCCCAGAGAGGCACAGCAGGCAAAGGTCACACTGAAATCAAGACGCCAAGGTTTGAGGAACACCTGGCAGGCTCCCATCTTCCCCCACAGGATCATACTAGGGCAATAACAGCCAGGGATGGGCCGGGGATGTAGCTCAGTGGCATAAATGCCTACCTGGAAAGTTCAATTCCCCAGTACCAACAAACATAAGTAAAAACAAACAAACAAACAAACAAACAAACAAACAAACAAACAAAAAAGGGCTTCCTGGTGCTAGGCCTAAGAGCTTTAGTCATCACAAGGTCCCCCTTGAGAGCAAGAGAGCCTGTTCTGTGGTGATGTCACCCCCCCTCATCAGGATCCTGAAGTGCACCCTGGGCTGGCACAGTCATATGGGCAGACTCCTCCCACTCACAGCATCCTCACTCCTTTCCTCCCTTCACCACATGCAGCTCCCTGGTCCCCAGCCCTTCCTTTCTGTCCCTCCCTCTCTCTGCCCTGTTCCCTCCTCTCTGCTGCTTGGCCTGGCTCCAGCACAGCTCACCTTTCCCGCCCTGTCCCTCCAGCCCATTAACCTGGGACAAAGCCCAAACACTCAGCCTAGAGTTCCAGGCCCTTTGGGACTCCCTTGCTGGAAGAGTACCCCTCCAGTCCTTGCTTCAGGGACAACCTCTGCACCTGCCACTCCAGTGCTAAGGCTGGGCTCCTACTGGCCGAAACTCAGGCCACCTGTCATTTAGCCCCCCACCCCCCAGCCTCTGCTCCTCATGGGACTGCTTGAGGGGCAGTTTCAGCGCACAGCTCCAAATTCAGACTGCCTGAGTTCCAATGTGCTTCTACTGCTTAATAATCTGGGAGACCCTGGTGTCTCAGTTCCTCACCTTTTCAAATCCGATCACCAAAGGGCCTCCAAATACTCTCCCCAAGCATCCTCAGTTAGTTCCTTTGAGGAGCTAAGCTCCCATGGAAGAGGCTGTAGTCCCACCCTGAGTGTTGTCTGAGGTCACCCTGGGCTGCAGGGATGTGAGGACCAGGGCAATCTAGGCAGGGGTGGGGCCTTCCTAGGGTTGATGAACTAAGAGCCAGGAGGAGCCTGTAAATCATGCAAGCAGGCTCCTGCCTGAGAGACCGGACTAGCGAGCTGGGTTGAATCTTGTCCCTGCCGTGCAGCGTTGTGTATCCTTGGGCACGACGCGCGGCCTTTCTGTGCCTTGCCCATAAAGTGGGAAGATTCACTGCTGCTGCAGGAGCATTTTCAGACCCACATCCATGCCTGGCATCACCACAACCAGCACCAACATAGTGATCCTCCTCCTCGTCACTCCTGTGTCCCCTGGGCTCAGAACCCGGGCAGCAAATGGGATCCAGGCTAGAGAAAGCTGTGTTCCTTGACCTGGCAGGTGTGATACGTATTTTACAATCACTGAACCATATT